CAAGACCAAATTTTCATATGAAATGTGCATATTTTATGGCGGATTCGGATTCTACTAAAAAAGAAAAACACTTTTTTTATGAATCATTTTTTGAAAAAATCCCAAATTTGTTGTTGTAAACGGCTTTAAAAAAGTAGAAAAAATCACTAGATATCTCTACCTTAAACTGAGGTTAGAATTTTTCCCACAGTTAAGAATGATTTTGATGAATGTTACTAGATTCAATGAGGGACATACTGTAGTGACCTTCACCACGAACTTGCTTAAGAGCCATCAATGTCATTTGAAGGTCATCAAGATTTTTTGAAGGTCAAATGTTTATTTACAGGTAACCATTTCATTTTATCCGAGGAATTAGAATATTAGAATTAGAATATTTTTCTCGTAAATGCTTTATTTCTCGCTAAAAGACATTTTTTTGCTTCGTTATCGTTCTATTGGTAAGGCTTGTAAATTCTTACAGCTCCTCAAAGCTTCTCATCATTAGGTTTTCATTGACTTTCTGAATTTCAGATTAAATAAAAATTAAATTATTAATTTAAGATTAAATATTCCCTAAAAATTCTACCTACAACAGATAATGGCTGACTACACGCCAGTAGAGATAGTCAACATGATCAAGATTCTGGGAGAATGTCACGACAATTACAAGGCTGCAGCAAGGCTGTACGCTCAAAGGTATCCGGACGCTCGTCATCCTACTAGGAGGAATATTAAACTTCTAACGATAAGAGCTCAAGGAGGTAACTTAAGAAGGAAGAGGCGACGGATGGGTCCAAGAGAGCATATTGCGCTTGGGGTTCGTGCTGTAATTGCCGAGGATCCTCATATTTCGACGCGACAAATTCAGCGAATGCATGGAGTACCCAGATCAACAGTTTCCCGTGTATTGCGTCATTTTAGATTTCATCCATATCACTTGCACCTTACACATGCCATTGAGCCTGGTGATCCTGTCAGGCGACTTAGATTCTGTCAATGGGCGGAAACACGAATGCGCATAGATCCATTTTTCTTTGATCGGACTCTCTTTACAGACGAGGCAAAGTTCGACAATATGGGAGGAGTTAATCTTCATAACGCGCATTATTATGCAGAAGAAAATCAACATTGGCAACGAGATCACCGTACACAAAGACGGTGGTCAATTAATGTTTGGGCGGGCATAGTTGGGGAATACGTTGTGGGTCCAATTTTTTATGACCGTAATTTAAACGGCGAGCTTTATTTAGATATTCTCGAGAACCAAATTCCACCTCTTCTAGAAAACATTCCGCTAGAAATAAGGCGAGACATGTGGTTCCAGCAAGATGGTGCTCCCGCTCATCGTCGACTACTTATCAGGAGATTTCTGAACGCGACATACCCAAATAGTTGGATTGGAATTGGTAGTCCAATCTGTGAATTCCCTGCGCGATCGCCAGATTTGACCCCATTGGACTTCTTTCTGTGGGGGGCCGTGAAGCAGAGAGTTTACGCGGAAGCCCCGACGACGGCACAAAATATGATGGAGAGAATTGTTGCAGCATTCCAGGCGTTAACCCCACAAACATTAATAGATGTCCAAAGAAGTTTTCGGCAGAGAATACAAATGTGCATTCAACAAAATGGGCGATTGATAGAGCACTTGAGACATTGAAATTTCCGTGACTATAGCTGAACGAAGGGGTCTTGCCTTAAGTGGTTGGACGTGAAGGTCTTGCCTTAAGTGATCCAAAGGATACCTCTGTCTTTGTTTGAAGCTAGTAACATTCATCTAAAACATCTTATTTCTAGAACAAATTCTCTTTTCAGTTAAAGGGAGAGCTACCTACCTATTGATGATCAAAAAATGATTCAGACAAAAAGTGTTTCTCTTTTTTAGTAGAATCCGAATCCGCCATAAAATATGCACATTTCATATGAAAATTTGGTCTTGACTTTCAAATGACCTTGAAGGTCATGTTCAAGGTCGCAGCTGAAATAGCCAAAAGATGCCCCCCTTCGAACCCAACAAATTTTATTTGAAACATTTTTTTCTCAGAGCAAATTATTAACCTGTTTTAGGGGGTGGTAAATTAAAATGGGACACCCTGTATATGGACTAAACAAAAATATAACTACAAATTTTAATTAAAAAATTTAATATGTAAATAATAACTAATGCTTATTAATATTTAATGTTTAAAATTTATACTTTAATATTTAAAAATTTAATATTTATTTTATTTTTCTTATATGGATAACACACCAATATATATATTAAGAAAAGATTTTTTCGACACTCCATGCGGAAAGTACGTTTTTCCCGCACGCTCGGCAAAAAACGTGCGTTGAAAATCGCACTTTCCACACGTCGTATAAAAAAATACGGTACGGCACATCTTCGAGAAAGAGTTTCTCGTCTCGTGTACCTTTCCTCCCTCGCTTCGCTCGGGTGTAAACGCCACAAGAGATAAGACTCTACATTCCCGCACTTGTATCGTAATGTACTATTCAAACTATTTTAGATATCTTGAATAACTAGAAGAAATATTTATTGTTTTTACATGAAATTATAATTGATAATATTATCAATTTTCTAGATAATATATAAGATAGAACTTTAATAAATAAGAGTAAATATGGTCATCAATCCTTTTCCAAAAGAAAACAAACTTATATTAAATATTGCATTTTTATTCTAATCACATTAGTCAACAAAAAAGAAATATTATATCTAACCAATAGAGCTATATTACGGTTTTATAAAATATTCTATAACAATAATTTTGCTATAGTTAAAAACTTTTTAATTGATAATAATAATCCTCTAAAATACAGATTTATAAAATAAAATTTCTTGCCACAAATACAAAACCTGAAATGCTGGAATTGTTCCATCCTTAATAGGACATCGTAAGGGTGCACATGTAATTCTTTTCATTCATTGTAAAGTATTGTATGCTTGTCAGAGATTTCTTGAAAAATATAATATTCGTAGTATTCCTATGATAAACCATCAAATAGTAAATATTATAAGATTAAGAAACAATTACAATTACAAATGGAATGAAACGGAAGTATTATATAAGCTCCATTGTAATAGTTGTAATAAAATCTATGTTGGCCAAAGTGTTGTTTCAAAACCGGTTTCGACAATTACAGAAAGTCAGTGGAAATATTGAATTTTATTAATAATTACAAAAAAATTGATTCCTGTTGCTAAACATATTTTTGAAAATCCAAGCTATAGCTTTTATTGGAAAAAATATAATAATTTTAAAAATCAAACCAGATCATCAACACAGACAAATGCTAGAATTGTTATAAAAACTAATAAATATATTATTGACAACAAATGAGAAGATGCAACATTTTCGATCTCAGAATATAATAGTTTACATCATTTCATAAATTGATGTGACTTAAAAATTTTAATTGATTCTTATTTACAAAAGTAGTTTGTAAAATCCTGTTATATCTCTATCCTCCACCAGTGATTGTACTCCAACTATTTGAGTTTATGTATTGTCATAGTGTTACTAAGATATGTTCTACTGATCTAGAGATGGGGTATTTATACTTTTGTTCAATTAATTTCAATCAATGAATTGTTTAGTTTTTGAAAAATTGATAATATAGTTTTGATAAAAATTTTTAGTTGACATGACAATTTTTATTAATATTTAAATTTCAAGAACTATATCCATGTGGAATGTTGCAAAGGTTCACTAGGTACTTGTCTAAACTCAACATCCCATAATTTTTTGAAATGGTACAAGAGGAGAAAGTTATACATACATCATGACTGGACCTACAATTTAATGAGGAATTCAAATCACTGGAATCACGATAATAAACAATTGAAAATTTCATATCTGAAAATCCTTATATGCCTGGGGCTAGACCCCACAACTTTTTTTTGCACAGAAGCATTAATTTTTACCCGATGAACCACCATGAATTAATTTAATTATAAAATATAAGTTAACTGTTAGATACTACACTTGTGACACCAACTTTAGCTACTTTTTGACCCAGCCACATATACATCTATTTTAAATAAACTAATTTGTTTTGAACAATGAAAAGAATTTGTGCTTGGTTTTAAATCATTACTTTATTACTTATGATTTCCAAAAATTTGTCAATTTAGTATATTCAAAAAGTATAATTTACAATAACTTCAAAAAAATACTTGCTAATTGTTTGAGACCTTGCAGCAAACAATCTTACAGTGACAGCTAAGGATTAAGAAATGTGTCATTCAATTGATATTTGATACATATCGTAAAAAATTATAATTCATATTTTTAAATAAACAAATTTCCTGAAGAGGCTTAGAATCTGTTGTCAAAACATTAAAAAACATGTAGACCAGTATATGAATTCAATTTTAATTATAGGTCAACCCTCAAAAATCAATAAAGCAGTTTTAGGTAATTATAATTTGATAAATAGAATTTTACAAAACATTAGATTTATATTCAATATTCAAATATATAAGAAAACTGCTAATTTTGTTATAAGACTTAAAATAATCCACCAAGATCTGATCAATTGCAACAGTTGTTGATTATAATTTTGAACACACTTAAAAAGATAAAGTTCAAATAAACTTCACATAAGGTCAAATAGTAACATTTAAACAACTAAACTGAATAAACATAATATAAATTAAAAATATAATATAGATAATTGATAATTTTGTATTATACATATTCAGGAAAATTATAATTTCAATATTTATTTACAAATTCTCAAGCAAATCATGTGGTAAGTAGTAATTAATTTTAAAAATAAAATGAACTAGTTTTTAATTAATTTTAATATGGGAATATATAAAAACACAGAATTAGTACATTTAAAAACAATGCAATAAATTGTGAATAGTTGATCTAATTAAATGTTTTCATACAATTTCGTTTATAAAATTAAAAACTATCAAAATATTGTAAGGATTGCGTTAAACTATTTGAAAATAATACAAATCTATTTCTCACTTTTACTACACGTATTCTGGACGCAAAATTACTTACTTGTCGTTTATTCATACGTTTCACATCATCAAAGATATTATGCAACATTTTAACAAACTAAAAAGCAGTATATTTATCAAAGGTCAAATATATTGTATAAAAACGTATAATAAACCGATTAACAATTATAATATTTAATTATAACACAATAGACAACGTCTACTACCAGATGTTAAATTATAATCATGTATGTCATGTATGTATCACATGACGATTACCCCGGCTAAAGGAACTCAGCAGGAAGTTAACGAAAATCGACCGAAAAAAATTACAGAAAAAATGCGCGTGGTTAACAAAGATAGCAAAAGTTATTTATAACTCCACGCAATTTTATTTTCATTGATAAAAAAATTATCAAATTTGATCACTCACATATCATCGGATACTGTATCTGCGTGGGGTTTTAATAAAGTTTTTAAAGAAATAAACCCATTCAATCATTAGCAAAAATCTCGCGCAGTTTTTCTATCCAATCAAAATATTATTATAACTATCCGTTAAAAAATAAATATTATTTCTCACTACAGTCATATACATGTGGCGGTCACGCGAAGCTTTCGTCAGCAGGCCCGAGATGGCAGCACTCCTCAGTCGACTGTAGGGTATGCGATGGAGTCCACCAGGAGTTGAGGTCGTGCCTCCTACTTGCTTGGGTAATTGTCGCTTTGTGTGAGTATCGGGGAGGGTGGTTTAATCACTTGGTGGTTAACCTGGTTTTCCTTCCTTCGAGGAAGTTTTGGCTACAAGGTTGATTATAAATCCACGACCTATTGATTGCAATATTTACGTTTATCTCTGCCACCGGCTTGCCGGATAGACACTTTTACATTCAAGATGGCCGAGGGTGTCGGCTTGTATACATCATACGAATCAGTTGTTCACATGGAGGAGGAGGAGGATGAAAATCAGGCTCTTAAGTTAAAGAGAAGCCTTGAATTGAATGATTCCGAATTATCGGAAGTAGATGACATTAATAATATTAATAAAAGAAAGTCGGCTAAGAGGTCGAATGTAGTTGATGTCCGCAATACATTGAGCAATGTGAACCCTAATTTACCGACAGACGGTAGCTCTACTTCCAAACCTATAGGATATTCATAAAGGTCCATACTACGTATGGGTAAAACAGGAAAATTCTAGTGATGCCAAAACTTTCAGTATTTTTAAAATTGGAATGACTGTTCACGGTCATTTTAATTCGATCACTCAAGTCAAAAGAGACGGTAGGTCGAAAAGTATTATCATCTTCAAAGACAGGGATGAGGCTAATTGTGCTCTATCTGACAAATGTTTTGTAGATAAAGGTCTAACTACCTTCATTCTGGAATTCAAGAAAATGCGCAAAGGCGTGATCAAAGGCATCTCTGTAGATATTGACTTAGATGACTTAAAAGTGGGCATTCAAAGCGATGTTATCACCAGTAAGATCACAAGGTTGAATAGAAAAGTGAAGTTAACACCAGAAAGCGAAACAACGTGGGTTCCCTATTGAAAAAATCCAGCTGGAAATCCAGCTGGATTGATATGGATTCCATATGGATTTGACCTGGATTTCCAGGATGGATATCCAGCTGGAATCCAGATGGATTTCTCGACAAATCCAGGTGGATTTCTCGGCAAATCCAGATGGATTTCTCGACAAATCCAGGTGGATTTCTCGGCAAATCCAGGTGGATTCCTCGGCAAATCCAGGTGGATTTCTCGGCAAATCCAGGTGGATTTCTCGGCAAATCCAGATGGATTTCTCGACAAATCCAGGTGGATTTCTCGGCAAATCCAGGTGGATTCCTCGGCAAATCCAGGTGGATTTCTCGGCAAATCCAGGTGGATTCCTCGGCAAAACCAGGTGGATTTCTCGGCAAATCCAGGTGGATTCCTCGGCAAATCCAGGTGGATTTCTCGGCAAATCCAGGTGGATTTCTCGGCAAATCCAGGTGGATTCCTCGGCAAATCCAGGTGGATTTCTCGGCAAATCCAGGTGGATTTCTCGACAAATCCAGGTGGATTTCTCGGGAAATCCAGATGGATTTCTCGGCAAATCCAGGTGGATTCTAAGCAAATCCAGGTGGAGTTTTTCGTAATTACAGATGGACTTGCGAACAAACCTTTTTAGTTAAATTCCGGGTCGATTTCCTAAAAAAAAAGGTGAATTATTTTACTATCCCTGATGCTTTTATTAGAATGTGAGTTTTTCTATTTTATTTTAATTTATTTCTTTATTTAATCCACAATACAAATCAGTATATTACATTCGTTGAGACAATACATTACCCAAGTAAGCATTATCAGTAGAAAAACATTCTACTCGCTGGAGTGGTATGTGAACTAACATTACAAACTAATTTCTAAATACTTACATACTAATAATTATAAAAATAAAAAATTAAAATACTGAGCGTTTTTTTTTTTACATCTATAGTTATTTATCTTTAGTAAATTTGTGTAATTAATTAATAAATTGTGATCTTTATGCAGTTATAGGTTTTTTTTTTTAAGTTTTGTGTTTTTATTTCATATGTATATATAATCACGTGCTAACATTTAGTTTTCATTTACTTCCTGTTTGCGCTATAATTCTATAAGACAATAAAATTTCTCAATCTCTATCACTAACTGACCAATCAGACTCAATAGAGGCTTTACCCTGAAACCATTCTCTTTCTTAACAAGACAACGATAATATTTACTATTTATTTTGATTGAATATAATTGAGACAAACGTTAATACAAATCAACAATTTTAAAAGAGAGAGATAGCTGCCAATGAATTAGCAGCATTTTTTTTACATCATTTCGGCATTAAAGCTGATTAACTTATTTGTAGGTTATGCGTGAAGGTGCGCGAGTGTTCCCCACCGCCTTCATCGTCTAGGTTATTATTTCCAATACATATTAGGAAGTGATGAAATATAAATGGCATTATTAGTATTCATATAAACACACAATTTCTGAATATTTTTAGTTTCTGTTATATTAAGATGTAAATATGTTCCAGTAACTTTCTTGAAACAATGTAATTCATCACCTATTAAATTATCATTATCGACTTGAAGCATCCTGTATATTGTATACTCTTTTTCATCTTGAAAATTGATGATAAAATGCTCGATTTCTATGTAATTTCCATTTTTCAAAACTGCATGTGAATTGTCTGATCTAAATAACTTTTTTTTAGAAGACATAAATAAGCACCTATCTTTCACCATTTTTCTAAAAGCTCTTACTTGCTCTTTGGGAAGTTGGAACAGCTCAATAATTTTGTCGTCAACTGCTGTTCTTCCAAAATATCTGTATGCAAATTTAACAGTATTTTCAACAAATCCATTATCTAAGTATTTGACATACTGTATACATGGGGAATCGTCTTTAGCTTCCACGTGTTTTTGCAATATCCTAATGCTTTCTTTAAAATACAGATGACGGCACACTTGACTCAAAACACCTTTAGCAGCATAAATTGTCTGTTTAATTTTTCCATTACCTGATTCGAATACGTAACCGCTATGTACATATAATGGACCCCAGTCAGCAACACTCTGTGCTAAGTGTAACAGTTGGTGAACGTTATATGTCATCGCATTGCGTCCATAAAGAAGTTCCGTTTGGAAAACAAATTGTTTTAAAAGGGAATCTGCTCTTTTTAACTCTGTTACGGTTATTTCGGTTTGTAACAATATATAATATGCCTCTACAAAAATAAACCAATGGTTCATATATCGTTCAAACTCTGGAAAATCTTCTGATATTAATTTTAATATTGGCGCACTATAAAATAGAATCCAGTTTAACCATTCAGCTGCTTTCCAAAACGCTCGATCACTTAAACTACGTGATAACCGTATTAGTTGTGTAGGCACTTTGAAGTTGGATATAAGTTGATTGATTCTCTTTATTTCACTCTTGGGTACAGTATAGGGCTCATTAGATGAAGCAAACCAATAATTGCAAAATTGATTACCTACACCCCGATCAACGCAGTGCATTGGGCATGGAACGAAACCATAAATTATATTAAAGCTATTCAAAAGCAACAAAGGAGTTGCATTTTTTACACCATAAATTGGAGCGTTTGCTTCAACGGATCTCCGTATGAGCTGTAATGTGTCATCTGCGGTTCGTCTTTCAGGATGTTCGTCAAGTATAATATATTTCATTGAATATCCAGTATTATGACGAACAGACGCACCTGGATGCAAACACCAACTACATCCAAAGTAACCATTAAATTGAACAAAACCTTGCATGGGTGCACGAGCAACAGTATCGACGCAGCAGCATAATACATACGAATGAATATTTTTCGTTTCATTTCTCAATTTGCATGGTATTCCATTTTCTGAAAGTTCATTCATTTTTTCCACAAAAGGTCGTAAGAAATAAGTCATGTTTGGTTTATCACGTCCAAACCACAATGCACAAACAATGGTTTTTTCAGATCGAACATGTAATGGAAGTTCATTAATAAGAATTTGTATTGGCCAAATAGAACATTTCGAACTTTTAAAAGTTGACGACCCATCACTATTTAACGTAAGAGTAATATAATTTTCTTTACGGTCATCAGGCAACGATACCAGGAACTGTTTATATCTTTGACCATCGAAAAAATCCTTAAAATTAACACTCACTTCTTTATTTCGTCGAGATACGACATCAATGTAGAAGTCTTCATTGGATTCGATAAGATCTTGGATTTCGCTTACTACATCAAGTATTACAAAATAATCCCTAAAGAGAGGATCTTTCAAGTTTACATTCATATCACAAACTTCGCAAAACATTAAACGTTGTCCTTTTTTAAATATTCCTAGATAAACCTTGCACACTGGGCATACAGCGTGATACTCCCTACCTTTTTCAGGATTAAATAACATATCGAGTTGATAACGATTATCTGGGAACACCTTTTTATCCACAAACATATTTAGCATTTTAAATAAATCTACCATTCCTGTCGTTGGAATATGATATTTGTTGCAATATTTCATAACAGCTAATATCATTTCTATTCGACTAACACCTATCGGTAAGTGCAAAGGCTCGTTGTAGTCTTCATCATTAATAATTTCATCTAATCTCTCAAATCTATTTTCAACCGTTTCATTATCATTGATTGCTAAGTTATTGAAATTATTAAAATCTTCATCGTCGCTACTATCCGTCAAACAATCCCCCATATCTTGTACAATGTCAAAAAAGTCCTAAAAGAAGCAAAAAGTAATCATTAATAATTTATCACAAAAAATATTTTTAGAATTAGTAGAAAAATATAGATAATGTTCATTAATATTGTCAAAAAAAGTCAGAAGTTGCTTATCCAAGGCTTTTTCAACTGGTAATTTTAGACTTAGTTAAAATATTATTTTTATGCATTTTTATTACCAACGTATAATAATAATATGTTAAATTTCATATATAAAGGGATATAATTAAATAGCAAGTTCTGAAACTGCCATTTTCGTTGTATGTCCATTTCCTACATTATCAATCTATTTAGTAAATTCATCCAATGAGAGTTGAATTTGCTGAAATAAAATACATTTTTTGGTTCTACATAGCAAAAAAAGACTTTCTACATTGGTCCTAAGATTTCAAATTCCTCCTAACAAAACTCCATTTCATTTTCATGAAAATCGGTGAGATCGACCTCTTAAGCCCCATATCTATAGTCCAATCTCTCGGAAACATCGATTATATCGTAAAAAAAAAACAATTTTTCAGAAAGAATATGGGTGAAAAATTGTTTTTTTACACTGCATTTTGCAATAGTAAAAAAGTTTTTTTTTATGGGCACCATCGGAAAGAGCAGATTTTAACATTTCAGAATATGACCATCTCAATTTTTTTTTATGTTTTTAACGTCAATTACAAGCTCTCAAAGACAGGTGTACCGCGAGTGGAGTTCTAGGCCGAAACGGGGTTAAATTAAATTTAGCAATATTACCTCCCTCAGTGTAGAATATTCAATTTATAGTTTTTATCATAAAGATTAAGTAACGTAATTTTCATGATTCTAATCTCATTTGTGAGAATGAACTATCGATTCATCTGTCGAAAATTTATTTGGTTAAATACAACTTAAAGACAGTAAAATATTATTTTTCGTTATTATGAAAAAAAATAGTTAGACTGAATAAAAAAAAGTGACATAAATTTTGAGTCGAACTCCAAATATTAAGTTTGAATCTATCAGTGATTTATTTGCGTCTCTGTTTTCGATTATTAAATACAGTGTATAATTATTTTCGGGCTTTTCCCTACGAGATTTTTATGCCTTAGTTGATAAAAAAAATACAAATACAATTGATTGTTGTAATTGGTGCTCTACCAACCGCTGCTGTATGGATATATATATATATATATATATATATATATATATATATATATGTGTGTGTGTGTGTGTGTGTGTGTGTGTGTGTGTGGAAAAATTATTTCTGTTCACCACGTCCCTTACAAGTATATTGAATAACATCTACATTTGCTATAGTTTAAGAATCTATCATTAGTTGGTAAAAGTACTTAACTTTAAACTAATACATATTTACCAAAAACTTGAAGTACGACAAGGTTTAGATTGAAATATTTTCCATTAATCAATGCCTTTTTTTAAGGTGGCTTATTTTCATGCCCGTCTTTGACAACACAGCTGTATCAGCACAAATACAATTGATTGCTGTGATTGGCGCTCGACCAACCACTGCTGTATGGCTATATATATGAATTTTTTACATGAGAATAATATCTTTAAAGGATGGCCTTGCACTCAAGGAATGCCCATGATCAAGTTATGAAAAGCATTATATATATATATATATATATATATCCTCAAAATGAGTCCTTCATGGCCAAAATTAAGCTGCTAAAAAATTGGACATTTTCTAAAATTTTAAACATTTTAACAATTTTAAATAAATTTTGAACCGTTGAACTGATATGAAATTGTCCATGTAAATGAATAAATAAATAAATAAGTGTCAAGAAAATTCCAATGTGAAAAAAAAAAATCAAGTGATATTCTTTTATAGAGCCATCATGGTGCATCTAATAAGTGACTGTTCACTCTAAGAAAATATTATCATCAATTGCAAACTTACATTATTTTGTACATTGATTCCATCTCTATTTATATGACAGTGATGGTTTATATCTGAATACGCACAGGATTGATCGTTGACATCTGAATGGGTTTGAGATTGATTAACATCTAAATGTATGTGAGATTGATTGAAACCTAAAAAAAATAATTAATTTTAATATTTTTCAATTATTTTGAATATGATTTCAAGGAATTATCTAATCATTATTTATCCAATATTATTTACAAAGTTTTAATACTTTTTTATGGCATGTCTAACTGAATAATTTTGAATTAAATTGATTCAAACGTAGTTCAATAGTTTTCAAAAAATTAAAAAGTCAATGTGTCAATGAAGTCAATGTGATTTTATTATACGTATACTTTTCAATATTTTCAATTATCCAAGTAAAAAGTATATGTAGCTATGAAAAAAATAGAAATCAGTGATAACTTGATTTTATTACCTTCTGAATTGGATAAGACGTCCACATTGAAACCTGATTGTTCATTATTATCTGTAAATGATAGTTGATCAGACTGCCTCAATCTTAAAAATAAACTATCAGTATCATTATCTGAACTGCATGAATGAGCTGTTATATCTGAATGAGAATTGGAGTGAAGCATATTAATTAAAAAAGTTTCTTGACTTCCTGTCATAGATATAGTATCCATATTACTAGAAGAACTATCTATATCCATCTTTGACACTATGTCTAAGAAATTGTTCACAATAAATTCTATAAATTTATTGAATAAAGTAAATGTAGAATCATACAGCCATTATAACCCACCTTTCTGAATTGTTATTGCTATAGTATTCCAATAAAACAATGCAACTGCACAAGAGTGCACAGCTGTTTATAAATGTATTATTATAAATATACCTATATTCACATTCACACTTAATTAAAAAAGGAAATGCTTCTACAATAACTCAACGGATTTTTATTGTTATCAGATTGCTCCCTCGAATCAAGACAGCCTCATGGCAAGCATTTTGTGCACGTTGCACATGCGCACTTAAGTATTAGCTAAGCAACAGTAGGTACAAATGTAGATCAGCGCCACCCGGCTTTATATCCGTTGAATCTGCGACCAGTGTCCAGTTGGCAGTTAACCAGTCCTTTGTCTTTGTTAATTCAATCAAACATGGCTGTTCTTACTTTGTTCTTCTGCCATTTATAATATTACTATTTCAGTATTATTAATCAGGATTACGTATTGATCTTAAAACTTTTTGTATTAATTTTTATCAGCAGTATTCGAGTGTGTCGTTCATTAATTTCAAATTTATTTGGGAGAAATTAGTTGTTTACTTTAGATATAATAAGCATTGCAACCTTTTTCAAGCAACCATGAAGCCTGGTTATTATGCCAAAATTAAATATATAGACGACCACATTCAAGGAGTACTCCCAGTAACACAAATATTGGAAATGCAATCAAACCCCGAAAATGTTCAGTTTGACAAAGATGGCATATATACAGTTATGTGGCAAGATGATAAAATTCCAAAAGCCATTGAAGTGGGAATCCAAATTGCTGACATAAAATGTAAGTAGCTTTTGTATCAATAATTTTATAGTAAAATAAAAATAAATAAAAAAATATACCATGAAAAAATTTGACAATTAAGGGGCCAATTAATCAGCCAGTGTTAAAAATAAAAATTGTAAATATTGCACTAAAATTAAATGAAAGGCAGTATACTATGTACAGCTAAGCAAAATCAAATGACAGCTGTATGAAATTGAGCAAAATTCAGCTGTATGAAAAATCAAATGACACTAAATTAAATTTGATGAATGCTTCCTATTCTTTTTTGCATATTAGTCCACCTGAGCGTAATACTTTGAACAAGAAAACAATTCTATTCTATTAAAAAAAATCATCTACAGCTTATTTTTCACTATTCAAACATATATTTATTTGTAATAAATTTTTCCTTCAACTTATGACACATTTCTTAATTTTGCTGCACTTTGATAGATCCATTAAACATATTCTGGAGTTTGTGATCAAATTTCAGCTCAATCATTTATATGTATTATAATAAGTCACTTTAATATTTAGTTTTCTTGAAAAATATACCATTTCTGAACATTCAGATGACTTGGGATTTCAGAAATTTTAATTCTTCTAAAAGATATGTTTGGTATTTTCAGTCATTATAATTACTAAAAATGATGCTTTAATTCTCTGTTGAACTATTTGCTTCAACTGTATTTGCGACCATCTTTATAATTTTTTATTAGGAGCATCAACCTGTAAACGAAACAAAATATCCACAAAGTAACTAGTTAGTTTTTGTTTTCTTGATAATATATACATACATCTGTGTACAATAAAATCTCAACTGCTTGCATTGCTACTGCCTAGCAGAAGAATGTATATGTAAGAAGCATATATGTAAGTCACCGGTCTGCAGTGCAGTGGCCATTTTATTATTTGAAAACATTAGACTACATACAGCCTGGGAAAAATCTAATGACTAAGTTAATTTTGATAAATGCTTCCTACTCCTTTTTGATATAATCAGTCCACTTAAGCGTAATACTTTAATAAAAAAAGAAATTTATTCTATTCAAAAAATTCATCTGCAGCCTACTTAAATCAATTTTTTTCTTCCAATAAATTGTATTGAATTAATTTTTTTCAAAACTAATTCAATAAAATAATCCAACTAATGTAATTCATGAAAACTGTCAATGTCCACTCTCGTAGTAATAAATATTTATTTATATTGTTATTATGAAAATATAATATAAATTTGTTGGTATCATACTTCATTTTCAGGGTTGAAAACTTAAGACGATTTAAAGGAGTTTGAAAAAAAGAGGTGTTTTTAGTGTCCTTAACCAGTCTATTATAGACAGATATTATGACTCTGAAGATAAAGATTCATGTGACAGTAACAATGATAATGAAAATGGTATAAACCAAAATAATACTCCACCAAAATTAAATGTAAAAAAAAAAGTGAAGAAAGATACGAAAGAGCAAGAATTGAATGTACGAAAAAAGGTGAACTTTCATATCTAATAATTTAATGTATTCGTTAGAAATTTATTATTATTATTGATATGATTATAATGATCATGATTATTATTATTTATTATTATTAAATTATTTAAATAGTCTACAATATTTTTCTGCTATCTATTTCTTGGCCAGCCTAGAGGCCTCATACTAGTTAGTTTTCCCCAGTAACCTTAACCTTAAGGGTGTCCAATCTCAAAGGACTTCAATCTCAGTAACCGTACTTCTATCCGCAACCTGAGGATGCACTACGTAGTGGTGATAGGAATCCACCGAGTAGTTCATAAATCTATTAATGTTTTTATTTTTCATTATTATTAATATCTATCAATTATGAACACTATTGTTATTTAGTTTATAAAATTATTATGAACTATTAATTATAATAAAATAAAATAACAAAAATAAAAATAATGTTGCTTTTGTAAAATAGTATAATGAACTAAATTCAATTTGTAGATATACGACAAAGAGCTTCAAGATAACCTTTTAAAAATTAAAGAACAACAATTTACCAATGCACCAACTTTGTTAATAAGCAATGAAAAAATAGATCATACAGTTAAAAAGAAACACAGTGCTGTACAAGGGAATTCATATGATTTCAACGTAGGAACTAAAGATTCAAAAAAAAATAGCTTCGAAAATACAATTCGAAACTTGAGAAAAGAAAATGTAGATTTACAAATACAGCAAATAAAATTACAAAATACAATTGATCTACTTAACCAGCGCTTAGAAACCTACAGAATCATTAATGAAAGGTTGCAGATAAAAAATTTGCATTTAGAAGAAACATTGAAATTAATTGATGAAACAAAAACAAAAAACTATGAACAAAAACCATATGAGGTAATAGTATTTCTGATTCGTAATAAATTTTACTAATATTATTTTGAATAATTCTTTCATTTAAAAATCACAGACTTTTAAATGAAAATAACAATTTACTTAAACAATTGTTTTTTATATTTCCAAATAGTCCCCTCCCAATTCGATACATTTATTCCAGCGGTATTCAATCTTTTTTAACCCTTCCAAAAAGTAACTTTTGTCGAACTCCTCAAAATACTCATTTGTGGCAGCCATAATTTCTTCATTCGATGAAAATCTGTTACCACCATGCTAAGTTTTCATGTTTGGAAACAGAAAATAATCAAACGGTGCTAAATCTGGAGGCGGGTGAGGAAAAAATTCATACCGTAATTCTAATAATTTGGCTATTGCAATAGCGCTCATGGGAGCTGGTGGAAGAGCCCTTGTATTCATACCACTATACAACGAAATTCAGTAAACCACTTGTGAACCATTTCATGTGATGGAGCAGAGTTCTTATAATATTTTTTAAGCTTTTCTTCAATTTCCTTAATTATTTTTCCACGCAGAAAATAATGTTTAATAAGCACTCAAAATTCGCTTTTTCCCATGCTTGTGTAAAAACAATGAAACACTAAATTCAAAAGACTATTAAACAATGAAATTTCAATTATAAGTATGTATAATTGAATCTCTCTATAAAATACTCAAATATAAGTATTTTATATATATATATATATATATATATATATATATATATGAAATACTAACTGGGTTTCCCCCGTGTTCGCTTCGCTCGGCAGCCTACCTATTTTTGTTTTTGTATCATACTTATAATTGAAATTTCATTTACCAGTTTGTGCACTCAGTTTCTCTTCCAGGATAACTAATTACCCACCCACCCCCACTTCCCCTATAATGCTTACATTATTTGTTCAATTGATAATGATCTTTTTTAATAATTTTTCAAGATTGACATGACGGCAATAAGCAACACGTCGACTCCGACAAAAATGTTGCATATTGACATTACAAAGAAAAATAAAGATCCTGAATATGCTAAGTCGAATGTAGATGATTATTGTGCAGCTTCACACGACAATAATATAAAAATATCCTCAAATGATGAATCTGAAGTTGTCGATGAATTTAATGATTCACAATTAGATGACTCAATTGATCTTGCATCGATGAAAAAGCCACATCTGGAAGTGAAACGTAATAACAATATATTATGTATTAATTCATAGATAAATTGTCATTAATCGTTTTTAAAAAGTTGTAAACATGTTCTCCAACCTATAAATTTCTAGCAACTATTATACTCGATTTACTTCAAGTTGTCATTAAATAGCATAAATTTTTATTGTTCTTCATATTACTATCCAGGCTAGAACTGCTTGAAATATTATATACTTGTGCTGACGTTTTTTTCAATTCTTAAAGCACTTAAAAAAATTTTTTTTTGTAATTTTCTTGTATAATATTTTGAAATAAACTTTTTTAGGAAAATTAGATTTCAAAGATGAAAAGTCTCTGATACCAGAAAAAAGATCAAAAGATAGGAGTATATCAACATCCATAGAGAATGAAGAAACTCGCGATTCGGGTATTTCAGATTATACAAATTTTGATTTTCACCAAGCAGACGTAAGTAACTCTTCTGAATGTAAGACTGAGCTGTCCAACCGAGAAATTGCTATGTTCACACGAAATTTATTGAAAAAAAAAACAGAAACCAAAAAAGATCTCTCATCAACATACTAGCGAAAAATCTAATGATGATGATGAGAATAGTCAGATCAGTATTCCCGATGAAATGTCAACATGTTTTTCCAACTTTGGCCACAAAGAAAACATTACCAATAATGATGGAGTTACGGTTAGTATACACTATATAACTTGTCGTTGATTGCATTCTAAAAAGTATTTTTGAAGTCTCTGCAGCCTAGTTGCATGCAAGTTTTATCTTTCTTGATCATAATATTGCAAAAAGAAATGCTAAAAGTATTACTTTTATTTTCAGACAACGTACATATTTTTGAATGAAAGTTTCAAAATATTATACGACGATTGGAAAAATTTCCTTAGTGTAAAAGATGCCAGTAAATTTACGAAGCACATTCTTAGAGCAATGAACACAAAAGATAATGGATCTTACGTAGAGGAGCTGAGCAGAAGATGCATAGCTGCAGACAAACCTTCATTCACGCCAAGAGGAGTGAATCGAAGGATTCCAATCACGCCGTTAGAACACATGACAATAGATAGTAAGAGCATCAGATTATTATTAAGGTATGGAATTGAGTTGTCTTTTCTGTTTTAACTGTTAATTTTTTGTGTTACAGAATGTTTATCTTATTTTTGTCAAAAGAAACTGAAACTTAATAAAGAAGCGACAAAGAAGGTAACAGCGAAGAAAAATAGCTTCATAACTGAAGACATCAACACATGTATAAAAAAAATGAAAAAGTTAAATGAATCATAATTATTCTAAGTAATACTTTCTTATGTACTGATCTTACTAAACTTCTTCATTTCCTTCGTTACTTCCTCCCTTTACTAAACTTAACACTCTTCCGGTCATGGATTTTGTTCGAACTTCTCCTACGGCCTTCATTTGTATAGAAATATAATAACTTCGAAGGATTCTGTTCATGGGCTATTAAATAATTAAAAAAAATTGTTTCGAAACGAAAAAAGGCTACAGACCACGCCTGAGCAAAATCCATGCCCAGAAGATCTGGTTACCGCTTGTTAGTTTACACGTACAAAGAATCATTATGTAAGTAAATTATAACTGTATTTATAAATGTAAATTATAAATGTAAGTAAATTATAACTGGTTTTCATTCAATCCATTTCCCTTATATTAACTAATTCTAAACTACCGGAGTTTTCTAGAAGAAACAATTGGATTTAGCAAAAAAACCACTTGAATTTTCCATAAAAACCACCTGGATTTGCCGATAAAAATCCACGTGGATTTACCGAAAAACTCAATTGGATCTGTGAACATTCCGCTTGGATTTGCCTAGAAATCCACCTGGAATTGTTAACAAAATCCACCTACATTTACCAAGAAATCCACCTGGATTTTCCGAGAAATCCACCTGGATTTGCCGAGAAATCCACCTGGATTTGCGGAGAATCCACCTGGATTTGCCGAGAAATCCACCTGGATTTGCGGAAAATCCACCTGCATTTTGCGGAGAAATCCACCTGCATTTGAGGAGAAATCCACCTTGATTTGCGGAGAATCCACCTGGATTTGCCGAGAAATCCACCTGGATTTGCGGAGAATCCACCTGGATTTGCCGAGAAATCCACCTGGATTTGCGGAAAATCCACCTGCATTTTGCGGAGAAATCCACCTGCATTTGAGGAGAAATCCACCTTGATTTGCGGAGAATCCACCTGGATTTACCGTGAAATCCACCTGGGTTTGCCGTGAAATCCACCTGGATTTGCCGAGAAACCCACCTGGATTTGCGGAGAATCCACCTGGATTTGCCGTGAAATCCACCTGGATTTGTCGAGAAATCCATCTGGATTTGCCGAGAAATCCATCTGGATTTGTCGAGAAATCCACCTGGATTTGTCGAGAAATCCACCTGGATTTGCCGAGAAATCCACCTGGATTTGCGGAGAATCCACCTGGGTTTGCCGTGAAATCCACCTGGATTTGTCGAGAAATCCATCTGGATTTGCCGAGAAATCCACCTGGATTTGTCGAGAAATCCATCTGGATTCCAGCTGGATATCCATCCTGGAAATCCAGGTCAAATCCATATGGAATCCATATCAATCCAGCTGGAAATCCAGCTGGATTTCCATATGGAAATCCAGCATGGATTTCCAGCTGGATTTTTTCAATAGGGTTCCTACTACGTCTATTTTGATTGATTTTAAAAGTGATGTATTGCCCAAAGAAATAGTGATATTTCATGTCATTGCCAAAGTATTTCCATATGTTAGGAAAACTCTACAGTGCCTCAATTGTTTTAAGTTTGGCCATATGGCTAAAAACTGCCGTGGTAAAACTAAATGCTCTATATGTGGTGAATTTCAGCCCATTGGTTCTCCCTGCATAGGCAAGATGCTGTAATTGCAAAGAGTCGCATAAATCCATTGACAAAAGTTATAGAATTTACAAAATGAATACTATAGTTAATGAAAAAATGGCATTCGAAAATGTATCATCTTTTGAAGCAAAATAGTTAGTATTTGGTTCAGGTAAAGCACCGTTGAATACTATTGAATCATTTCCCAATAGGAAAAGTAATACTCAACACAAGTTAAATAAGACAACTGGCGTGTCTTATACGCAGAAGACCAATTCTACTCCTCCTATTCTCAACCATCAGTATTTGCCTAGTCAGGGTATATCTACAAATTCTAAGACCAATATGGAAAAGAACAATCAAGAAAATGAGAAGAAAGAAAAAGAGAAGAAAGAAAAAGAGAAGAAAGAAAAAGAGAAGAAAGAAAAAGAGAAGAAAGAAAAAGAGAAGAAAGAAAATAAGGCTCCCTCCTGTTAGTCTACATAACCAACTGGGAAGCCCAAGAACTACACCAGGATCCCGTTGAGTCAGCAAGAAAGTGTCACTCAGAAACTGTTGGAGAGATTTGCGAATGAAAATAGTGGTAAAGTTAGAATAAATACTAAAGGTTCAGGCAACGCTACTGCAAATAAGCATAAGGCTAATGCTAAATAGATCCTATTTAAATTTTATTGTATTTATTGCTTTTAGTAATTGGTTTTAATTCTATTAATTGGTTTTAATTCAGTATGTATAATTTTTACCAAAATTTAAATATTTTACAATGGAATTGCCGTACCGTTACGAAAAAGCTATGTTTACATAATGCAGCTTTTAAATATGATATTATCATTTTGGTCGAAACTTGGTTGAATAAAAAAAATCTTAAAGGATTTAACGTGATAAGATTCGATAGATTATCAGAAGGTGGTGGCCTAGCTATCTGCCTAAAAAAGAACTTAATCTTTGAGGTGTGCAATGTTGGTTATTCAGGAAATATTCTTGAGACAGGCTCAGCAGCTGTCAAACTAGAATCAGGTAACTTGCTAATTACATCTTGCTATAGACCTCATAGGGTTAACGACTCTAATGAAAATTTGAATCAAGATGAGTGGATTAACTTCTTAGATTCAAACTTAAACTTTGATGCAAAATATTCTCTAATTGCTGGAGATTTGAATGCTCATCATCTCCTTTCTGGGGCATCAATACTGATTATCTTAATGGAAATATTATTGTTGATAATCTAGATTTTGATAAGGTTATGATATTAAATGACAAAAGTCACACTCATTTCACTTTGAATTATTCTGGCTATTCAGAGTCTTGTATTGATTTAACTTTTTGCTCCCCAGAATTGTTCGCTAAGTGCAATTGTCAAGTTCTTGATGATAGTTGGAGTAGTGATCATTATCCAATTTCGATTGAATTTAACATGAAACCTCTTTACATACACAGGGTTAATTACACAGGCCAACAAAATTTGACAAAGGTTCAGAACCAGAGACCAGACATAATATATTCGAAGGATTTTGATGCGCTGAATCCAAATCCGAGCTCAGAATTGCGCCAGCACGTCAGGATTTTGAGATATCCTAAACTAAAAGTGCGAAAATCACGTATTTTGGCTATATTCGGTACTTTATAACATTGCGAATAAATTTTTTCATGCAAAACTGACAAAGGCATCTGAAAGAGCAACTCTTGACTTGCAAAATGCACTACCGATTTTTGTTTTTATGTCTTTTGGTAATGTAGATATCGTCGTTTGAAATTTAACACCTATGAATTTGTTTATACTGCGACACACCAGAACAAGTGACCAGACATAGTACACCCGAAGGATTTTGGTGCGCTGAATCCAAATCCGAGCTCAGAATTGCGCTAGAACGTCAGGATTTTGAGATATCCAAACCTAAAAGTGCGAAAATCAAGTTTTTTTGGCTATATACGGTACCTTATAACATTGCGAATAATTTTTTTCGTGCAAAATTGACAACGGCATCTAAAAAGCAATTCTTATCGTACAAAAGCACTAACAATCTTTAGTTTATGTCTTATTTTATCGTCAATTGAAATGTACTACTTATCAATTGGTTTATACGGCAACGCAATGAATTTCGACTATTATAACTCAAATCCCTGATCTTGGAGCATTGTAACCTGCGGGGCAATAAACCTTGCCCACTTAACCCTAAATCCCTTAACCCCCGATCCCTGTGACCTTCGATGCAATAATCCCCGTCCCCTTAACCCCAAATATTTTAACCCAAGAAGGTTATAACAATCGCGGCAATAAAACCTGCCAACTTAACCTCGAATTTCTTCACCTCCGAATCCTGTAACCTGCGATACTATAGCCCTAGATTCCTTGTGACGCAAATTACTGGGCTCAGGCATTAAGGGATTTACGTAACGGCATCGAGGGTTGTAATATCACAGGTTTCAAGCCTACAGGGTTAACGGATTTAAGGTTAAGGGGCAGTTAAAGGTTAAGGGGTCGAGGGTTTTTGGGTTAACGGATTTAGGGTTATGGCCACGTAGATTATAGTCTTCTAGAATATCTCGGAATACTGACGTGCTGGCGCAATTCTAAGCTGGGATTTGGATTTAGCGCATCGAAATTCTTCGGGTGCGTTATGTATAGTTTTTGGTTCTGAAGTTTGTCGGCCTGTGACAGACAGACAAATATTAGAATTAAAAATTTAAATAATTTGTTTAAATAAATTTAAATGTACAAATCTGACATCAAACTCGTGACTAGTAACCCCCAAAACCATGGAAATGTGGTGCAGCTTGCAAAAATATTCTATTATACAGGAATTTGTTTAAAGAAATTTTTTAAATAAAATACATTTTGCAAATCTGATATCAGATTCATAACTAGAGACCTCAAAAATCAGCAAAAGTACGTGCAACTTGCAAAAACATTGAGTCTTGCAACATTTATTTAAATAAATTGTTTAAATAAATTTAAATTCACAAATCTGACATCAAACTCGTAATCAGTGAGCCCTAAAACCATGGAAATGAGGTGCAACTTGCAAAAATATTCAATTTTCAGAAATTTGTTCAAACAAGTGGCTTAAATAAAACACATTTTGTAAATCTGATATCAGATTCATAACCAGCGATCTCAAAATTCAGCAAAAGTATGTGCTGTGACGGTAAACGTCAAATTAGCGCTGATTATTTAACTTAATTGCTGCCTGCGAGGGCAGCACCTGCCGGGGGGGACGAAATTCGTAACTAAGGAATTCGGCACGCGAGCAGACGGAACGCGCGCGATTGAATTCGAACCAGTGAAGCATTGACCATTGTTGTGTCCGCCCACTTTTCGTTATCGCCACCGCCGATTCACGTGTCCTTGACATCTACACGCATCAAAACAGCTGCAGCCATTTATCCAGGATTGTAGCCGCCAGGGTGCCATCCAGCTACGAGTTTGAGGCCAGGACGAGTGTGTGTGTGAGGTTTCGCCATCGAGGGCGAAACCATAACGTGCGCGAACTCGCGACTCGCGAAATAGACAATTGAAACTGTTCTGCGTCACACTATAGGATAAATCGGGAAATTTTGCTCAAAATAAAATATCTCGCGAACGAATAAAGATGCGCCGGGCGGCATTTGAAACATGAAAAGATGTTGAATAAGGGAAAAATAGTCCGAATTCCGGGAATTGTTTATAGGACCTTCAATTTCAAGGTCAAAGTTTCAATTTTTGAATTTTTGAGCACTTTTCTTC